TCCCAGCACTTTGGGAGGCCGAGGCAGGTGGATCACGAGGTCAAGAGATCGAGACCATCCTGGCCAACATGGTGAAACCCCACCTCTACTAAAAAACACAAAAATTGACTGTGCGTGGTGGCATGCGCCTGTAGTCCCAGCTATTTGGGAGGCTGAAGCAGGAGAATTGCTTGAACCCGGGAGGCGAAGGTTGCAGTGAGCCAAGATCGCACCACTGCACTCCAGAGACGCAGCCTGACCGGGCACGGAGGCTCAGGCCTGTGATCCCAGCACTCTGAGAGTCCGAGGCCGGTGGGTCACTTGAGCCCAGGAGTTGAAGACCAGCCTGGGCAACATGGTGAGATCCTGTCCCTAGAAAAAAAAAAATTAGCCAAATGTTGTGGCACACATATGTAGTCCCAGCTACTTGGGAGGATGAGTTGGGAGGATCATCTGAACCTGAGAGGTCATTGAGAAGAGGCTGCAGCGAGACGTGGTCACAACACTTCACGACTCCTGGGCAACAGAGTGAGAGCTTGATTTAAAAAAAAAAAAAGGCAGCCAGGAACGCGGTGGTCTTTTCAGGTTTCCTTTTTTCAGGTTTAACCTTAACCGCAGATTCTGCCTGGGCCTTGTCCCTTTTCCCTTCTTTCCCTTAGCACAGTTGGGAGTTGAAGGCTGTGGTAAGTGTATGCCAACAGGGACACAGGTGAGGGAGGCGTGGGCTGGGCAGAGGCTGGGTGGGAGGATTTGCTGCCTGGGCTTTTTTTCACCCTGGAAAACAGACAGAACAAAAGAAGCAGCTTGGGTTTCTATCTCATGGGAACTCTAATCTTGAAGGGCTTGGATTTGATTGCCGTCGGCGATGGGTCCACGAGGAGAGCACAGCTTGGGTAGGCTTCTGAGGACATGAGCTGGCAGCTCTCTTTTCACAACACCTAGAGACAGTGAGTTTGCAGCATAGATTTGCAGGACTGGTGGCCACAAGCAGAGACAGTTTTCCAAACCTCTTGTATGAAGTCAGCATTTCTGGTTTCTAAGGAGCCAGGTTTAATAAATCTATAGCAAGTTAGTTTCTCAGTCATCCTTCAGTCATGAAATGCATTGTGGTGCACACACAGGGGTTTAGATTTACGCAACCCAAGTGTAGGTATATTCTTTACTTTCAAATAAAGACTCATAGGGACATCATATCGCTGAATCTCCTCTTGACAAGCATGGTATTTCAGAAACTCTTGGCAGCCCTTCCAGTTCAGTATTGGGCTTGGCTCTCGTTTTGGTCCAAGTCAAAGCAGTTGAGGGGGTTCTATCCCAGTGTGTCAGGGGGACCTGTCATAGGCATGTCCTCTGCTTGGTTCCAGATTTAACCCTTGAATGATTCGGGGGCTTTTAGTGCACGTCCCATCTCAGACGCTGACTTGGAAGTGACGGAAGGGCCATAGTTTCTCTCTCCTCTTGGGTACGGGGCTAGAACAGTTCCCCCAAGCACACTTTGATCCTCACTGATGTTCATGTGATTCAGGGGCAGCTTGTGTAGGAGGGGTGTGGACCACCTGAAAGCCAGGAGATGGAAGGAGTGCAGAGTTCTGGCATCAGAAGGTGCTACTGCAGCTTAACCGTGGGATTCCAACACATCTGCCCACCAAATCCTCATGTTCTTATCACCATCCCTATGTTACCAACCTGTAACATGTAATGTAGGGATGGTGATGTCTGCTTACTGAGGTTTCCGCTGGGCTTCATGTAGTGCTCTCCAGGGTCGTGCTATGGAAGCTGCTGAGCACCACATGCCTTGGAGGTGGCCAGGCCTGGGTTTGCACATCTGGGCTGGAGGCAGGAGGTGGACAGATGCGTGTCTGGGGCTGGGGATGCGAGTGAGTGTTGAGCTCTCTGTGTTCCTGGAGGGTGGCCCTGACACGTGCGGGGTCTCACCTCGATTTTAAGAGGGTGTAGACTTACATAGAAAATTGACTATGTTGGGGGACAGGCTGAGTTCCTCCTTCCTGCCCCTCTTCCCAATGCAGAGGTTAAGGAAGGAGTTTCTCTGTGTGATGCTGGGGTACTTTACAGGAAGTTGCATTTCCAAACACTTCATGTAAGCAACTTTGTGCAATTCAACACTCTTTCTGACTCTTAACCAACTCAGGTTCTCGGGCCTCCATGTGGTAATAGCATAGATTACAGTTTCCTGTATTGGCCTTGACCTTAGAAATTATATAACTATTGATTTAAAGGTTTTTTTTTTTTTTTTGTCAGTGGTTGCAATTTGTATGGTTTCGGGGTTTGAACACTGGAGTCACTATATCAAGGCATATAATGCTGAATTGGATTCAGAGATTATTGGATTGAGAAGAGATGGTGGGTTTGTCTGATCTGCCCTGCTTACTCTGCAGCTGAGGAAATGGGTCTTGGGTTCCATCAGGGACAGCAGAGTCCTTGTGCTTTCCGAGACCCTTTCCCCCTTCCCTCCGGCTGTCAGGGCCCCTGCCGGAAAGACAGTGACACTCCTACCCCATCACAGTGGTGCCAGCAGCGAGCAGTCACGTATTTGTGTGGTGGTCATCTTGGAATGATGTGCAGTGTGAGAGTTAAATTGTATTGCCAGTGAGTTACCATAATGCTTGTTTATATGCTAAGTTACATGCCAGTGTTTCCCGGTAAAATGCTAAGCATGATGTAGGGTCTGAAGCGACAGCACACTTGTAGGAACTGGGCCAGTGTACTCCAGCATCGCATTGTGATGGGAGTCGCTGTATTTTGGATGTGTGTGGTCTGGTCAAGATGTGGGACACATATAGTCAGATCACGGTGGGTTCATGGAAGACCCAGGACCATGGTTGGTCGAACCCCTTGCTGTTCTCCCCTGAGGTGCTGGCTTATTGAATACTTTTTGAAGTAAATGGGACCCCGATTAACCCCAGTTTCCCCATGAATTCTATTAGGATTGCATCTGTGCTGCTTTAATTTGAGTCTTACATGTACAGATTGTGTGAATTAACCTGCAGTACATTTTAGTGCATTCAGTTTGCCTCTGAGATTGTATTCTCTCTCTCTCTCTCTCTCTCTCT